TCACACTATTCTCGTCATTTTTATTCCTTTTCTTTTCTAAACATGAAATAAGAAATTGAAATAAAATGCATATTTTAAAAATTTGTTTATTTAATTAATTAATTAATAATGAAACAATAAAATAAATGAAACAGGTGAGGCGATAGAAAAGTGATAAGAATAAGCGTGGAAATAAATAAATAATTAGTTAGTTAATTAATCAAGTAAATAATTAATTAAACAAACAAGAAATGTTACATTAAATACGGAGTATTTGCATCATCGTAACATGAAAAGAGCATAATAGCTAATTGTTGTTAAAACAGGAAAAGTTTTAAAATTTTTCCCGTATTTATATTAAAATCATTCGTTTAATCAATGAATAATTTTGGTTTAAATAAAAAACAAAAAGAGAATTATGATAGAAAAGGCAATAATGATTTACGAAGGATACAATGTATCTTTTAGATTTTTTTATTCGATATTCGTCATAATCAGTTTCATTCTCTCTCTCTTCTTTTTCTCTCTCTGTTATAAATTTGTAATTTGCTTTTTCTTATTATTTCACAGTAATTAAACCATGATATCATGGTAATGAGATTATAAAATGACAAGGAAATTATAAGTAATTATGAGTAATAGGAAGATTTTATTGCAAATTTTAGCGTGGAAATTTTTTTATTGATTTATAATTTAAAAATTAATTAATTATTGAAATCAATAATTTGAAGATATTATTAACTGAGATAATTTGAATTTAATTCCATACATTAGAGAATTGATAGAAATATCAATCACAAACTTGTTGCTTTTTCTTAAGCTATCAGTCAGTCATGCATATCTTCGTTATCTTTTTCTTATCCGCTATTCTTAATGAAATAAATCAAGTAGCAAACTACTCTTCAAAGCAGATATTTATTTAAAAAGAATTTGAGATTGTTAAAATTAAAAATGCCGAAGAAAAAACTTCCCAAGTTCTTCATTTTTCGATAAAATAATATCAGCCAAGAATTCATCACTGTCAATGAATATTTCCCTTTTGATATGATTTACAAAAAAAAAAAAAACATTGCAACAAATCTAATTGTATACCGCTTGATCGAAAATATGATATATTGATCAATATCGGATCAATTGGTTCATATAAAAACTTTTGATACATTATCGATAAAATTTAATCTCTATTAATTAATCTATTATTTCTAAAAAACTTTATCAATTAATTATCCAAATTTAATTTACATTTCTTCTTCCAAACATTATCGATTTCTAACGTTTATTTCTCTTTCTTTTTTCAATAAGTGCGAAATTAAAAAGAGTTTGAATTTGAAAGTTACCTGCAAAATTATCAAATTTTAATCGTTCTGTGTTAAAACATTTTTTCGATCATAAAAAATAATGAGATGCATTGAAAGAGAGCATCAGATTAAATTGGATTTTATAAAACAATTGGATTATTTTATTAAATGCACTTTATTACAGCTGTTGCCAATGCTAATATAATTTTACACATTCTATTCCGATAAGCAAAGCAAAAATTGGGCATAATTTTAAACTGGATTTTGAAAATGAGGAAGTTCAAAATTAAATAATTGTAATTATGAAAGTGCATTTTAAGAAAAAGAAAAATACGCTGATGATTGGTGCACTGTTCCATGGTTTCTTCAAAAAGGATTATTACATTGAAGTGCTTCATATTGTTTAAATTTGAATTACTCCGTGGAAAACAGGTTTAAATGGCAATATTTGGTAAAGTTATCGTTGCAATAATATTAATTTCAAAAATTTTAGTTTAAAAAAAATTTTATTAATTGAAAAGATGTGCAAAAGGAGAAAGTGAAATTAGGTAATGCTTGGAGAGAAATTCATAGCTCTTATTCAAAACGCTATAAATTTCTTTCTCATGTTTTTCTTTTCTTCTCCTTCAAACTTATTATTGGATCAACTAATCATCTTCTTTTTCACCTTTACAAACTATAAGAGTGAAATATAGCAAATTCTTTCCAACTGCAACTGATTATAAAAACGATAATGTTCAATTACCAATTAAGTTAATTAACAAATTCTTGCTATTGACAACTGATTATAAAAATTTTGTCTATCAATTAAATTAGTTAACTGTTCCATGACTTTTTATGTAATGCATTGAATCTTCAAGCTTAATGAAATAGAAATTAAATGGAAAAAAAGTTCGAATTAAATCAAACAACAAAAAAAAAAGCTTAAGGAACATTAAAAAAAAAAAAAAGAAATATTCATTTTGCGCATCATTTAAACGAATATAGATCCGAAAAGGAGATATTAGAAGGAAAGGAAAAAAAAAAGAAGAATCATTACATTTTGTTCTAACTAACTCATTCATTTAAAGGTATTATTTAGATGACAATAACTAATTCGGGATTTCTCGTCAGAAAAATCACATTTAAAGGTGTTATTTAGATATGAGGATGTCTTTTTCAAATGACAGATATGATGTGTAAGATGTCAAACGAGAATTCATATTTAAATTGTAGAAGTTATCGAGCTATGCAACTGCTTAATCCTATCGATTTTTTTTTTTTTTTTGCAATTATCTAAAATTTCTTCTTTAACATTTTGAAAAAGATAAAGGATAGGATAATATTTTAAAGTTACTTGAGGAGACATCATAAATAACAAATTCCTACACGATACCACTACTAGTAGTAGTAGTAGTAGTAGCAGAGATAAAATTGAAACACAAAAGTGGTAAATTACAAACACAGTAATATCAATCATCAATAGCATTTCTTCATATTTCTTTGGTACGCTTTAAAATAGTTGTTACTGTTGAAAGATATATTTTACATAATTGCATTAATTACAACTTGAATTTGATTGTATCTTATTTTTGGTCAATACCAAAATTATATTTTACAATTGAAAATCGAGTTAATTTGTAGTGAATAAATATGTTAGATCCGAAATTTGAAATAAAATCAATTGTAGCGGTATGATAAACCTAGTTTTAGATTAGAGTCACCAGCTAATAAAGCTTGCAATTGAATCAAAAATTAAGCTGTTGTTTTAGCACTCTTTTAAATATATGCAATGTAAATATAAATCAATTGTTGCTGAATGCGTAATTGCAACAGAATAAGAATCATTGCTTGCTTAGGGAAAGTTTCACATAAGATACTATTGTTATGAATTCAAATTTTTTTTT